TGTACAAAATTCGCGCAACATGCCCTGACATCCGTTCCATGTTTTAGGATTTGGGGCCATTTTCTGCTGCTCCATGTTTTAGGAGTTGGGATCATTTTCCGCCAATCTACCGTTCCACCGTTCCACCTCTCCTGCTATAAGGGTCGTATTCTTTTTCCTCGCCTTTCTTCCCAATACGCAGGCGTGGCCGGGCTAGTTTCCGGGTGACGACGAAGGACAGCGTGTTTGCGTTGAAGGTTTGAATGTTTGAATTGAAGGATTACGTGTTGGAAATGACGAGTATCATGTTCGCATTGAATAATTGAATGTTTGGAAAAGGAGTTCGAATATTTGAAGTGATGAATAGGGTTACGAAATTAAACAACTGGATGTCTCCATAGTCGAACAGTAGATCTAACCTAAGAGATTAAGCGTTGGAATGGAAGAATTGCCGGTTTAAATTTGAAGAGTAGAGTGTTTGAATTGCAGAACGATTGTTTCAAAATGAAGGATTGCGTGTTTCTGTCGACAAAAAGCCTGTTTGAACGGGCGAATAGTGTATTTGAATTGACGACTGGAGTAGAAGGTTTGCGGTAAAGAATTTCATATTGGAATAGAAAGATAGCATTTTTACTTGCGGAACTGACTATTTTGAATTGCGAGATTGAAAATTTAAAATGCTCAATAGCATGTTTGAATTAGACGACTGAATGTTTGGGTTGTAGAAAAACATTTTTCAAACGAAGGATTGCACGTTTGAATAGAAACACAGCATGATTGAATCGAAGAAATATTTCTTTGAATTGAAACAGTGGATGTTTCAGTAAACAAACAGCGTATCTGAATTGTCAAACAAGAAGTTTGAATAGGAAAATAGCAAGTCTGACACGAGGATTTGAATTTTGACACTAAAAACGCGCCATAATGGGGGCCTCCACCGATGTATCGGTCGATATATCGACCGATATATCGGTCGATACATCGGTCGCTGCTCGGCCGAGTATCGGTCGATACTCGATGGATCGATACTCGATCGAGTACAGGTCGATATATCGGTTGAGTATCGACCGATGTATCGACCGGTACTCCTATCGGTCGATATACTTGGCGGTTCACCGATCCCTGACCGATGCTTGACCGACACTTCACCGATACTTGACCAACACTTCACCGATACTTGACCGACACTTCACCGATACTTCACCGATATTTCACCAATGCTTCACCGATACTTTACATCAGTCGATACTCTACCGACACGCGACCGATAGGTAAATGCTCTAGTATCGGTCGATATATCTATCGATAGTTTGGTCGATACTACGGTCGATAGTATTTAGTATCGGTCGACAGTATCTGGTATGGGTCGATATGTCGGTCGATAGTATCGGTTCTATCATTGCATATGTATAGGTTCATACAATTCAGCGAATACACACCAACACCATCGACCGATATTTCGATTGGCAGGCAGATGTTTCGGTGGATATGTATAGGTTCATACTATTCGGCGAGTACACGCCAACACCATACAAGGTTGACAGTATATCTCTAAATCTGCCAACATGCCGATATAGTAGTGCACATCAGAGATACCTCACCGAGTATCGGTTGTTTATGGGGAAGGAAAACGCGAGAAACCCCAATAGCCCACAGCAATTGATTTACGCTATTGTGGATGGATCCCGCTTTTAATTTTTTTTTTTGTGTGGAAAATTAACAAAATAAAATATAAAAAACAATCCCTCATTTTCGTTTATTTTTGACTCTTTAGCAAACTTAATTAACAATGGACAATTAACAAAATGAAAAAGAAAAAACAAAATCTGACTTTGTTTTATTTTTTACTCTTCAGCAAACTTAATTAACACACAAACAATGAGATAATGTACTATCAATCTTAGTGCATACTTATTGCTTATAATTTTTCGTAGCAATCTGATGGTCATCATGCTTAGGAAAGGCATAATTAAACAATAAGATTATGCTGATTTTGTTGTACGTTTTGCTGTTGTTTTGACCCATGGCACCCTCTCAACGCAATAAAAGAAATAGAAAGGATAAATTCATTTTTACTAGACAATAATGTATGACAATTGCAACTGATTCGGGGAAGTGAATCAGTGATCTGGTGAATTACTTCATAACCTAGAACTGCTCTTTGAAAACTGAACATCCTGTTTCTTGAAAGTTACAATAACAATAACAATAACATTTATTATTTGTATTGCGCCTTTTCTATAAAATATTCGAAAGTTGAAAGGTGCCTGGTCCTTTAATTTGAAATTTAGAACTGGGCCATAAATCCTATTACTTTTTTTAGCTGGAAATTTAGATATACGAAAAAAGAAGTTTTTTACTTATTGTCCATCTGATCACGTTGGTTTGTAACGACTCCAAGGAAATGAGCGGCTCATTTCCTTGAACTTGTTACAAATCAACTTGATCAGATGGACAACTGAATAATGACACTTTTCAGTTGGGCTACATATGAACAGAAATTAACGGTGCTAGGTCATGCTAAGAAGTTGTTTTCCAATGTAAACAATATTTGAAATTTGCCAGAAACCGATTATGCCACTGGATGGGACAGTTAATTTGTTAGTAAATAGGATCTAAGAAAAGATAAGGAAAAAAAATTTTTTCCAAGGAAAGATTTACGTATTTCCCGTCTAAACATAGGTTAATGTTAAGCTGACGTCTAGGGTAAGAGACAAACAACAGGCATGACCACGTGACAATTTTGAGAGGATTAGGTTTCACGATGATGGAAAACGTGACTGCGATTTTTTGTTGTGATGCATCAGTCGTGTGCTATCATATTATTTTCTTTTCAACATTTAACATTTGCCTCGTGTTAACTATTTACGGAAAATATTGGGAAAAAATGTCAGCAAAAGTTCTTTTTAAACTAACATCGTAACGCAAATTATCACAATAGTGGACATATGTACGCGAA